TGACGAAGGCAAAATGAAGTCATCTAAATACTCATTATAAATGATAATTTGCAGGTGTGGGGGTAGGAAGGGGGAGGGTGGGGGGTCTTACCCAGTGGAATACACTGATGGCAGGTTTTACATATATATATATATCTTCGCATTTGTTAATATATACTTGGATGGAAGGAGTTGGTACAGACATTTTTATCTATTTTCTGGTGTGGAATGATGTCCATTGATATTTATATACCTAAAAATAAATGACTTTTTAAATGTAGTGAAAGTGCACTTTGGAATGGGACATTACACTATTTTATCTTCATAAATAATAAAATAAAAGGATAATCGCCAGATCAAAACTGATCAAAAATGCCACACTAAACGCTGCCAAATACATAGCTGGTTTCGAGACTAATTTCGAAAATACTGGAAAAGAAATTAAGTTCACCCATTCGACACGTTTTCGAACGGGTGAACATACACACACAAAGGAGAAAAAACGAAAAAAAAAGAGAAAACTATCATCACTCCATAGGAAGAAAGAGATAAATATACATTTCTATACTGAGAAGAGTATCGCGGTATCGAGCTTGCGAGACGAGCCGAGCGCCGGGCTTCGCAAACCGTGAGACTAGTGGAGGAGAAAGGTCGGAGCGGTGTTTACTTCACTCCGCTGTATCTTATTTCTTATCAGACTTTATACAGAGCAATTGTAGAGTCGGTGTGGTGAGGATGCGGCGCTGCCTTGCCTCCGTTGGTTTCTTCTAGTCTTCTTTGAATATTTGGTTGAATCCCTTTTAAAGAAAGGACAAACGCACCCGAAGGTACTGATGGATTCGAGACTTTCGTATCGTGATTCACGTCCACCTGAACCACGTGACTGGAAGATGCAACCTCACACGACACCCGGGCCGAGGAATTCGTGTCTTCTCTCAGGCCGCAGTTTCGCTTGTATCACTCTATGTACACATATTTTCTCCGCGTATGTACATACCATAGGCAAACACCACGTTTGGTAACACTGAAGGCGAGTAGGAAATCCGAGCGTTTTCCGGCACAGGCCTCGACACCGCACAACGAACGCCGTTGTGGGGGAGGACCTTCCGCCGGGAATGGATCTGGAATGGATCTGGAGGGACTGAGTGGATACTTGAAAGCTCAGCGGCCGACGCGTACTCGGGGTGGAGGCGTTACCAACATGACGCAGGTCCTTCAGCAGGTCGATATGTAAGTAGCGTCGCCCAGGCGACTACTGGCGCTCACTGTCGAAGCGCTCATGCCCGCATAGATGCAAGAGGGAGACATCATCTATCTCCCTGGGAGATAATGGCGTCTGCTTCGCCCTCCCCTAAGCGAAGGACTGACTGTCGAGATCGACCGAGAGCGACTGCTTCCCTCCGCGGTCCGTCCAGTACTTTAGCTTCCCTCGCAGCTCCTCCAAGGAGCGCGACTTGGCCTTGTTGATGCGTCTGTACTTGACGTCTTTGGGTTTGGTGACGGATCTGTGGTTGCTCATGACGCGGTTGTAGGTCACCTGGATCTCCTCGTCGAGCCGGGGCTTCGCGGGCGACGTCACCGCGATCGTGTTGAGCTTCTCGTACGACCCCAGCAGCTGCCGTCGGTCGCTGCACGAGTCGTCGAGGGGCCGGATCTCCTCGTCGTCGTCGTCCGCGTCGTCGCTCTCGCCGTCGCTCAGGGTCGCGTCGGAGTCGTAGTGAGAGGACGACTTGAGGATGGAGTGGAGGGAGGGCGCCATGGAGGGCGTGGCGGAGGAGGCGTCGCCTAGTAAGGAGTCGCGCTCCGTGTGGGCGTGGCAGACCTCCTCCTCGTCCAGGCTGTACACCGTCCGCAGTAGCTCTGCGCGGCCTTTGGTGAGCGTGCAGGAGGGGCTGTCGTCGCTCTCCTCGCTGGAGCAGGAGGGCGACGTGGACAGGGAGCCCGGCCCCGCCCCGCCGCTGTAGCCGGGCTTCAGGAGCGAGCCGGTGGCGGCCCCCGGCGGCGGCGTGGCGAGGAGGTCCTGGCCGGCGGCGGCGCAGCAGGAGGGCCTGTTGGCCACCTCCACGGCGTCCGACACGCTCCGCACCACCTTGACCTCGCCCTTGCCCATCGGGATCAGGACCAGCGAGTCGAAGTTGTCCTCGAGCATGATGGCGCTGTCGCTGTCGTTGAGGCTCTCGGGGTCGCTCTTGGTGGACGTGAAGTGCAGGCTGGACGGCTTCTCGCCCTTCCGGAGGCCGTCCTCGGCCGCCTCGTCCTTGGCTACGTCCTCCTTGGCAGCGTCCTCCTTGGACGGCTTCTGGGAGGACTCGGACGCCTGCCGCGCCCGGATGCTGTTGTTGAGCGCCCGCGAGAGGGACACGACGATGTGCTGCTGCTGCCGGATGGTCGCGTCCTTCTGCTTCATCAGCGCCTCCACCTCCTTCTGGCGGCGGCGGAGCTGCGACTCGAACAGCAGCAGCTGCGACTGGATCTGGCGGAGGTGGTCGTCGCGCTCGCGCTGCAGGTGCAGCAGCATTACATTCTGCAACAAAAGTCAACGCGTCAGTACTCTCCAAATAACGTGCATCGTCTGCATGATAACCCGTATTATATACTTAAGAGTAGATATATACCTGTACATTAAAGAGATAGAGAGATAGAGAGAGAGAGAGAATATCTTTAAAAAGGAAACTCGTTCAAACAACACCAAAAAACGGATAAATAAAAATACCACGACAACCCCCCTCCCTCCACCCCCCCTCCCATCTCGCAAAATGACCGATTCCTCCGAGCGCCGCTTCTCCCCCCCCCTCCTTCCCTACCCGACCCGACCTTATTACTTATTCACCCTCTTATTGCCCGAGCTGAAAGGAATTCTCGAGTCGCATCGGGTGAAGAGTCTTCCGCTCTCTTTGGTATTCCGACCGCCGCGTCCGAGATCAGACGGGGTATCTGCATGCTGCCAGTCCGGGCTTGGTCTTGCTTGCCCACGTCGCGCCTCTGAACAAAGACTTGCTCTGCTTGGGATGACTTATTGATTCTTTAAGGTTGTACTGATTAAGGTTTGCGATAATTTCTTGAATTTTGTTTTTATTTTTTTTCATTTTTAATTTTATCTGTTTAAGGGTTTAAGGGTTAAGTGTTTGTTTGGGATAACGTTAACGGTTTTTTTTAAAGGGTTTACGATTTATGGGTTTGTTTGGGAACTTTTCTTTCGTTACTTTATTTTTGAAAGGTGTACGGATATTCATGTCTAAGAATTAAGCATTTCTTTGGGATAATTTTTCCATGTTTCAAAAAAAAAAAAAAAAAGCTTTGTCTGAGATCATTTATCTTAATGTTTTTTTCAGGCGGTGTGTGCAATGTCGTGTCTAAAAACTAGGGATTTGTCTAAGTATTCTCTCGCTCTAATTAAGAATGTAGTCGCTACTTCGTGTCTGAGAAGTAAGCAGTTCAAGATATTTTGTTTTAAGAGTTTTGGTGAGAGAGAGAGAGAGAGAGAGAGAGAGAGAGAGAGAGAGAGAGAGAGAGAGAGAGAGAGAGAGAGAGAGAGAGAGAGAGAGAGAGAGAGAGAGAGAGAGAGAGAGAGAGAGAGAGAGAGAGAAGAGAGAGAAATTTTTGTACCGCTCTGGACTGTCTATTTTAACTATTTCAATCTCGGATTTATCAATAACGCAATTCTCAAACAAGCTAATGGTGTCATTATGGTGGTTATGAATTATACGATCGGAACCCAACATGAACTGTCTTCGATAACTAGACGAGATTTTTTCTTCCTGGATATTCTCACGCACACGTACGCACCACAACACACACGCAAACACACACACACAATCTCCTCACCCCCCCCCCTTCCACGCACGCACGCATCCCCCCCCACACCTACACCTACACCCCCTCCTCCCCTTCCCCTCACAGCCTCCTCACCCCCTCCACCCCACTCCTTCCCTCCCACACGCCTACACCCCTCCTTACCCCTTCCCCTCACCACTCCTTTCCCTCTCACCCCCACCCCTCCCCACACACCTACACCCCCTCCTTCCCCCATCCCCTCCCCCCCACACGCCTCCTCACCCCCCCTCCACCCCCACTCCTTCCCCTCTTTCCGCCCTCCCCCCCACACACGTCGCATTCGTCAGCCCCCTTTTTTACCGGCCGCGGCGCGCTCCCGCGGCGGCGGCGCGCAGACGACCCAACCCAAATACCAAGCGGGGATCGGCGGGGAAGGCGGTCGCGCGGTCGTCTCCTCCGCCGCCGCCGCCGCCACCGCCTCCGTCGGCTTCCTTCCTTGTCTTTTGCGCTGGTGTCTGTCTGTCTGTCTGTTTCTTTTTGTCTTCTTTTTTCTCTCTCGTTCCCTTTCTCTTTCTTTTTTCTCTTTCTCTCTCCCTCCCTCCCTCCTCTCTTCTTTCTTTCTCCTCTCTTTCTCTGTCTGTCTGTCTCTCTCTCCCCTCTGCGTTCGTGTGTGTGCGTACATGCCTCCTCTCCCTCCCTCCCCACCCTCTTCCCCTCTCCCTCTCCCTCTCTCTCTCCCACCTTCTCCCCCTCTCTCCCTCTCCCACCCACCCTTCTCTCCTCTCCCTCCCTCTCTCCCTCTCCCTCTCCCCTCTCTCCCCCCTCTCTCCCTCTCCCTCTCAGGTAAACAGAACGACTCGCACACACGACAGGGCTCGTTGCGCGTCTTCGGGTGCAGTTGCGTGCAAAGGGGGGTGGGGTGGGTGGGGGGGGGGGGGGGTGGAAGGGAGGATGAGAGGAGGAGAAAAAAATGAAGGAGAGAGATGGGGGAGGGGGGGAGGGGCTGGGGGAGTTTAAAAAGAAGGGAGGAAGAAGTAGAAGAAGGAATAGAAGCTGTAGAAGACGAAATAAGGAAGGGGGAAGAAGAGGAAGAGAAAAGAAGAAGAAGAAGAGAGAGATAGATAAAGAGAGAGATTGAGAGACCGAGAAGAATAAGAGAGAACGAGAGTAGAAAGATGAGAGAGAGAGAGAAGAGAGAGAGAGAGAGAGAGGAAGAGAGAGAGAGAGAGAGAGAGAGAGAGGAGAGAGAGAGAGAGAGAGAGAGAAGAGAGAGGAGAGAGAGAGAGAGAGAGAGAGAGAGAGAGAGAGAGAGAGAGAGAGAGAGAGAGAGAGAGACGAAGTTGAGAGAAACAAAGAACAAGAGAGACACAGACACCGAAAAACAAGAAGCGAGAAAGAGGAAAGAGAAGAAACAGACAGTAAACTCCCATCGAAAATTCCTGTACGACAACTGCATAACCGGAACGCGATGCCAGACGCATGCAAATCGCCAAGCACACGCGTATCTCGATAACCAAATTGATTAATAAATAGAGAAGTGGACCAATAAATAAGCAACTTTGAAAAAAAAGCAATATTAACGGAGAGTGCAAGTGACTACAAGAACTACGGATATAGTGCTATGACTTTGCTAAAATAGTTTATCGTATTTTTGCAAGTTCTCATACAAAGAAGCTAAACCAGTTATCTCGCGGAAAACATAACGAAACACACACACACACACACACACACACACACACACACACACCACACACACACAGAGAAGAGACTTTTAAAAACAATAAAATCCATTAGTGAAAAAAACACCATATTTGGTCTATTCTCCCCCCCCCGCCCTCTCTCTGTCTGTCTGTCTCTCTCTCACACCCTTCCTATCTGTTTGTCTCTATCTTATCCTGTTTATGTGTGTGGTGTGTGTGTGTGTGTGTGTGTGTGTGTGTGTGTGTGTGTGTGTGTGTGTGTGTGTGTGTGTGTGTGTGTGTGTGTGTGTGTGTGTGATGTGTGTGTGTGTGTGTGTGTGTGTGTGTGTGTGTGTGTGTGAGAGAGAGGAGAGAGAGAGAGAAGAGAGAGAGAGAGAGAGAGAGAGAGAGAGAGAGAGAGAGAGAGAGAGAGAGAGAGAGAGAAGAGAAAAGAAAAAGAGAAAAAAAAGAAAAATGAGAAAAAGAAAAAAAGAAAAGAAAAAGAAAAAAAAGAAAGAAAAAAACGAAAAACAGAGAGAAAAGAAAGAAGAAGAAAACGAGAGAACGAGACAACCCGAACCGGAGACCTGGTACCCGAAATACACCAGCTAAACCAATACCCGAAATACACCAGCTAAACCAATACCCAAAAATACACCAGCTAAACCAAAGCTCCGACGTGACCACACCAACGTCACTTAGCAACAGGACTTTGCAACACGACACATTGACCGCGAGAAGGGAATGCCCCCCCCCCCTAATAGGATTCCCTTACCCCCTTACCCCCTCCCTTACCCCTCCCCTCCCCTTTCCCTTTCCCTTGTTCGTTACTCCATATCCTCTATCCCTCCCCCTTCCCTTCCCCTCCCCCCACTATCCGATTTTTATTTCATATGTTAAAAGGAAGAAAGAAAGGAGGAGGAAGAGGAGGAGGAGAAAAAGGAGATGGAAAAAATATAAAAAAAGGGGAGAAAAAGAGAAATACAAAATGAAAATAAACATGATGAGAACAAGAAAAAGGAAGAGAAAGGAAGAAAAGAAAATAGTAAAACTTCCTTTTTGAACAAGAAGACGCCACCCCCCATCTCCCCCTCCCCCCCACGTGGTGTCTCGGCTCATGTCCCTCCAACAGCATATTCATGAGGCGACGAAGCGAGCCACGCCGCTGAACCTCATGAAGCAAAGTGAGGCAATTACAACTACATATTGACGGAGACGGAGAGGAGAGGAGGAGAAGAGGAGGAGGAGGAGGAGAAAGAGGAGAGAGAGGAGGAGGAGGAGAGGAGGAGGAGAAAGAGAGAGGAGAGGGAGGGAGAGGAAGGAGGAAGAAAGAGAGAGAGAGGAGGAGAAAGGGGAGAAGGGAGAAGAGGAGAGAAGAGAGGAGAAGAGAGAGAGGCAGGAAAGAGAGGGGGAGAAGAGGAAAGAGAAAGGGAGAAGAGGGAGGAGAAAGAGGAGAGGGAGGAGAAAGGGGAGAAGGAGAAAGAGGAGAGGGAGGGAGAGGTGGTGGGTGAAATGGGAAGGACTTTTTGGACATGGCTGTCATTGTTTTTTTGTTTGTTTATGTTGGTTTAATGTGTTTTGTGGTATGGTTTGTTTGTTTGTTTGTTTTAATTTCCCTTTTTATGGGGGAGGGGGGGCAGGGGGTATGGATATGGATCAATTTTTCTTTTCTTTTTTTCTTTCTTTTTTTTTGCCTGTTAGTTATCTGTATTTTTTTCTCTTGCTTTGTTGTCTACCTGTTTACCTCTTTACCTCATTGGCTCTTTTTTTCTCTCTCTCTACCTTTCTCTTTTCTCCCTCTCCCACTCCTTTATTCTCACGCCCCTCCCTCTCCCCTTCACTCCCCCTCCTCTCTCCCTCTCTCTCTTCCCACTCCCTTCCACCCCTCTTTCCCTCTCCCTTCCCTCTTTCTCCTCCCTCCCTCCCTCTTTCCCTCTCCCCTTCTCCCTCCCTCTCCTCCCTCCTTCCCTCCCTCCCTCCCCCTCCCACCCCTCTTTCCCTTCCCTCCCTCCTCCCTCCCTCCCCCCTTCCCTCTCCCTCTCTCCCCACCCCTCTTTCCCTCCCTCCC